TACTGTAAAATGAAGCACCTGAACAAGGACCTTCATGGCGGATCATAATGTGTTCTTTTAATGCAAACTAGAGTTAAAAAAAAATAAATATATATATGTGTCAGGTGTTGAAAACATTAATTGTGGGAACACTGTAACATATATCATAAAATATTGCTCTTTTCTTAATTTACTTTTTATTTTTAGTATTAGAATGCAGTCAACAGTGAGGGTGGCTGCAACATTTGACCATTAGAATGATAAAAGGATAACTGTAGTCATTTTGATAGTAGTCTGAAATTGAATTAGTGGTGCTGGGTCTTAAATAATAGCTTTTAGTAATGTATATGAAATAACTGGCTTATAGCTGAAGACATACACACACTGGCCACTTTAGGTACACCTATTCAATTGCTTGGTAACAAACATTGCTAGCCAATCACATGGCAGTCTAGGTGTAGTGAAGACGACTTGCTGAAGTTCAAACCGAGCATCAGAATGGGGAAGAAAGGGGATTTAAGTTATTTTGAACATGGCATGGTTGTTGGGGCCAGATGGACTGGTCTGAGTATTTCAAAAACGGCTGATCTAATGGGATTTTCACGCACAACCATCTCTAGGGGTTACAGAGAATGGTCCGAGAAAGAGAAAATATCCAGTGAGCGGCAGTTGTGTGAATGAAAATGCCTTGTTGATGTCAGAGGAGAATAGGCAGACTGGTTGCTGCGAGATGGTAGAGTCAGAATTTGGCATAAACAACATGAAAGCATGGCTCCATCCTGCCTTGTATCAATGGTTCAAGCTGGTGGTGGTGGTATAATGGTGTGGGGGATATTTTCTTGGCACTGGCAAGGTTTACCTAATAAAGTGGTCGGAGAGTGCATGTGAAATATACTCCAGGTCCCAAGGAATATAGTGGAGATTTTTAAAATAAATATTATTATTATTATTATACAGGACTTATATAGCGCCGACAGTTTGCTCAGCGCTTTACATTATGGAGGGAGACAGTACAGTAACAATACAGTTCAATACAAGAAGGATTAGAGGGCCCTGCTCCTTGGAGCTTACAATCTAAGAGGGAGGGGATAGTGGTACAAGAGGTAATTAGCTGTGGGGGATGGAGTGGTAGGAGGAGTAGGGGATTCCAGTATTAGCTGGGGTCAGGGTAGGCTTCCTTGAAGACATGGGTTTTCAGAGTGCACCTAAAAGTGAGCAGAGTAGGCGATAGCCTGATAGCTTTGGGTAGGGAGTTCCAGAGGATGGTTGAAGCCCTTGAGAAATCCTGGAGACGAGCATGGGAGGAGGAGACAAGGGAGCTAGAGATTAGGAGGTCGTGCGAGGAGCGGAGAGTATGGTTTGGGTGGTATTTAGAGACAAGGTCGGTGATGTAATGAGGGGCAGTGTAATGATCGGCTTTATACGTCAGTGTTAGTGTTTTGAATTTTATCCGTTGGGCAATTGGAAGCCAGTGGAGGGATTGGCAGAGAGGGGTGGCAGATACAGAGCTGTTAGTAAGGTGGATGAGTCTGGCAGCAGCATTCTTGATAGACTGAAGAGGGGATAGCCTGCGATGAGGTAGGCCAATGAGGAGGGAGTTACAGTAGTCAAGGCTTCCGTGGTTTCCGAGGTTAGAAAACGGGCGTATCTTGGAGATGTTGCGGAGGTGAAGTCTACAAGATTTGGACAGCGATCGGATTTGTGGCTGAAAGGACAGATGGGAGTCTAGGATTACACCTAGTACCCTGGCATGAGGGGAGGGACTGATGATTGTGTTATTGATCTTGATGGAGAAGTCAGGGGAGGGGGCACGGGCTGGAGGGAATACTAAGAGCTCAGTTTTGGAATGATTGAGTTTGAGGAAGTGGAGTGACATCCATGCCGATATGTCACTTGGTAGGTTAGTAATGCGAGTGGAGACTGAAGGGGTGAGGTGAGGGGTAGAAAGATACATTTGTGTGTCATCAGCATAGAGATTGTACTTAAAGCCATGGGAGTTTATCAAGTGACTAAGGGAGGAGGTGTAGATGGAGAAGAGAAAGGGTCCAAGGACAAAACCTTGAGGGACCCCTACAGAAAGAGGGAGTGAAGAGGAGGCAGCGTTATAGGTAACACTGAAGGAGCGCTGCGATAGGAGGAGAACCAGGAGAGAGCAGAGTCTCTGAGACCAAGAGTGGAGTTTTTTGAGGAGGAGGGGGTGGTCAACCGTATCAAAAGACGCAGAGAGGTCAAGTAGTAAGAGTACGGAGTATAGTGGCCATTGGTTTTAGCAGTTAGTAGATCATTAGTGAGTTTTAGTAGGGCAGTTTCAGTGGAGTGTAGAGAGCGAAAGCCAGACTGTAAAGGGTCAAGAAGGTTGTTGTCGATGAGGTGGGAGCTCAGGCGATTGTAGACTAAGCGTTCTAGAAATTTAGAGGTAAATGGCAGCAGGGAGATGGGTCTTAAGTTGTTCAGTTTGGTTGGTGGGGTCCAGGGAGGGCTTTTTAAGTATGGGAGTGATGTGCGCATGCTTTAGAGGGGAGGGGAAGGCACCAGTAGAGAGGGAAGGATTGAAGATGTGAGTGAGGGAGCATAGGATGGAAGAAGAGGGTGACCGTAGTAGTTGTGAGGGGACAGGATCCAGGGGGCAGGTAGTGAGACGGGCTTCTGAGAAAACCTTAGTGACCTCTTTGGTAGTAGCAAGGTCAAAAGAGGAAAGTGTTGAGGGAGGTTTAGTATAAGGTATGCTAAGTGGGATGGATGTCTGTGCAGTGGAGATGCCCCTACGAATTGCGTCAATCTTGTTTTTGAAATGATTTGCAGTCTCGTGAGCAGTGAGCGAGGTACTGGGTGGAGGTGGAGAAATTAGAGAGTTAAAAGTAGAGAAGAGACGACGAGGACTGGATGACAAGGTATTAATAAGAGTGACAAAGTAGGCTTGTTTGGCAGCATGAAGGGAGGAATTTTTTGAACACGAGAAGAATTTGATTTAAAGATTGGACTTATAGGGTTTGGACTGCACACAGTTTTTGAGGATTTATTGTATAGCATCTTCTGTCTGTTGATTTTTTCGGTTAGTAAGGTGAATGAGTCTGGCAGCAGCATTCATGATAGACTGAAGAGGGGATAGCCTGCGATGAGGTAGGCCAGTGAGGAGGGAGTTACAATAGTCAAGGAGAGATATAATAAGGGAGTGAATGAGTTGCTTAGTGGTGTCCGAGGTTAGGAACGGGCGTATCTTGGAGATGTTGCGGAGGTGAAGTCTACATGAGTTTGTCAGCGATTGGACCTGGGGCTGAAAGTACAGATTGGAGTCTAGGATTACACCTAGTACCCTGGCGTGAGAGGGTGGGACTGATGGTATTGTTGTTGATCTTGATGGAGAAAGTCGGGAGGGGGGGCACGGGCTGGGGGGAATACTAGAAGCTCAGTTTGGAAAGGTTGAGTTTGAGGAAGTGGAGTGACATCCAGTCCGATATGTCACTTAGTAGGCTGGTGATGCGATTGGAGACTGAGGGGGTGAGGTGAGGGGTAGAGAGATAGATTTGCATAACAAACAATATGCATAACAAAGGCACATGGGGTGATATAAACAAGCCCTAAGAGAAATTAAAAAATGTTAAGAGATAGATTTAAAAGAGAAATCAATAAAAAAGCATCATGGAGTATACAACCCAACAAGGAAAACGCCTTACTGGTCTTCTAATAGATAATCTATATGAAGCAGCTTGCAGGTCCTGAGGAAGAAAGAAGGTATCCTGAGGCCTAGTTGCTGGATTGTGTTGTCAGCAGCGGCTTGCCAACAGTTAGCAGACAACTGGTAGGTGATACGTTGCCTCCTCACACTGAAATCCCTCTTCACCATGACACAACCGTGTTTCTTTGCAGTTGCAGAGCCGCCATATTTCTTTCTGTGGGATGGGGTGGAAGGCGGTGTCTCCTGATCAACAGGATATGCCCTATTTTTCTGCTGTACAGCACAGCTTGATATATGAGGTTGTCCAGCAGCCATTGACTGGTTTTGACAGTTTAAAGTGCCCATTTGAAAGGTGCCTATTGGTATCCAGGCTAACATTCAACTAGATCAGCAACAGAATTGTGCAGGTATACTCTGAGCCCAATAAATGAGGTCCAGCAAAGGTCAATAACTATTTGTCAAAAAGAAATTCCTCTTTGAAAATCCTGTTTGGCTTTAAATCCCATTAGGGACATACAAGGCAATTTAGTAAATTCAATTAAATTTTGTCAATCAAAAGTAATCCATAAATTAAAGCCACACTCACTAATGAGATCACCATATGGAGTCCTGAACAGAAGTCCCAGGCGGGAGCAATACTGCGTTCCAAATCCTGACAGATGAGTTCCAGGGATATTCTCCCAATATAGCTGACAAAATATGGGAATATTCATATAGCAGGTTACTCTGGAAAAAATGGGGGCTTGTATCCACAGGGCTGAATTAGACCCAGTTGACTACATAGTCTAGAACAGCCTTTCTCATTCTTTTCAACATGGAGGAAACCTTAAAACAATGTTCAGTTCTCATGGAATGTTTGTAATACTTAATATATATCTTCAGAATACTGTACATTGGTGTGATGGTGGTCATTGGGAAGAATCCCCTCTAATAGATAGCTAATAGAAGACCATTGTGTTCAGTGGTTACTTATCTGAGAGGCAGATATTGCTCATTGCTCAAGGAACCCCTAGCAACCTCTGGAGGAACTTTAGTTGAGAAAAGCTGTTCTGGGATCACACCCTCCACACTTTCATCTTGTGGATAAATGAACCATAAATTGCAAAAATCACAGTACACATGCAGCAGTTCTGTACCATATAGATAAACTAAAAGGTTAGAAGTGGTCGATGGCAAATCAGTAGACCCACCAATCTGGATACACATTGGACTATGACAGTGGCAATCAACTTTCTTGATATGAGGGGCCTCAAGTGCCCCCCCCCCCCCCCCCCCCCCCCCCCACACACACACACATCATCAAAGGGCCAGACATACAATTCAGTGCATTTTCAGTGTCAGAGACAGCAGGCACACAACAGAATACAGTCAAAGACTTTGGTCATGATACAAGAGATGGTCAGAGACTGCAGACAAGATGAAAGAGATGAGCAGAGACTGCAGACATACTACAGGAGATGGTCAGAGACTGCAGACATAATACAGGTGATGGTCAGAGACTGCAGACTTAGTACAGGAGATGACCAGAGACTGCGGACATACTACAGGAGATGACCAGAGACTGCAGACATAGTACAGGAGATGACCAGAGACTGCGGACATGGTACAGGAGATGACCAGAGACTGCGGACATAGTACAGGAGATGGACCAGAGACTGCAGACACAGTACAGGAGATGACCAGAGACTGCGGACACAGTACAGGAGATGACCAGAGACTGCAGACACAGTACAGGAGATGACCAGAGACTGCGGACATCGTACAGGAGATGGACCAGAGACTGCGGACATAGTACAGGAGATGACCAGAGACTGCGGACATGGTACAGGAGATGACCAGAGACTGCGGACATGGTACAGGAGATGACCAGAGACTGCGGACATAGTACAGGAGATGACCAGAGACTGCAGACACAGTACAGGAGATGACCAGAGACTGCGGACACAGTACAGGAGATGACCAGAGACTGCAGACACAGTACAGGAGATGGACCAGAGACTGCGGACACAGTACAGGAGATGACCAGAGACTGCGGACACAGTACAGGAGATGACCAGAGACTGCGGACATAGTACAGGAGATGACCAGAGACTGTGGACATAATACAGGAGATAGAGACTGTGGACATAATACAGGAGATAGAGACTGCGGACACAGTACAGGAGATGGTCAGAGACTGTAGACATAATACAAGAAATGGTTATAGACTGCAGACATGATACTAGAGATGGTCAGAGACTACAGATGTGATAAAAGAGATGGTCACAGACGATAGACATGATAGAAGAGATGGTTAGAGACTGTAGATGTCAGAGGCGTCCCTACGCAGGTGCGGGGGTTGTGTGCCGCACCAGGTGACACCTACCGCATGGGGTGACACCGGACCCGCTCCACGAAAAGGTAAGTTGTAAAGCAAGCCGACGACCCCCGCAGGATGGATCAGATCTGCGGATTGAACATAATGGATTGGAGTCAGATCCATTATGCTCCCCAATCCGCAGATCCGATCCATCCTGCGGGGATCGTCAGCATGCAACCTATAGGGGGTGACACCGGACCCAGTCCACGAAAAGGTAAGTTGTAAAGCAAGCCGACGATCTCCACAGGATGGATTGGATCTGCAGATTGAGCATAATGGATTGGAGTCCGATCCATTATGCTCAATCCGCAGATCCGATCCATTCTGCGGGGATTGTCAGAGGGGGTGTCACCAAGTGTTATCGCACCGGGTGACACCAACCCTAGGGACTCCCCTGGTAGATGTGATACAAAAAATGGTCAGAAACTGTAGACATGATATAAGAAATGATCAGAGACTTGCTACAGGAGACTGTCAGACTGTGAACATGCTATAGGAGTTGTTGGAGACTGGTGATTTGCTTCAAGAGACAGTTGTAGACTGGAAACATAGTACAGGAGACTGCTAAAAATCATTGCTATAAAAGGGCAGAAGAGAAACACAGATCAGTGTCTGCAGGGGGCCTGAGGGCCACACAGAAAGTGCCAAAGGTCTGCATGTGGCCCCTGGGGCTGAAGGTTGGGCACCATAAATCTATGATCTTTATAAATTTCCTCAGCATGGTGAAGCAATTCTTGGAACAACTCATAAAGCAAAATCCAATTGCTTGTATCAGACAATCAGACACATAGCTGGGATTTTATAATAAGTCAGTTCATTAAAAGCAGTGCATATAAGATATGTCCATGTTGGGTATTATTATTATACAGGATTTATATTGCGCCAACAGTTTGCTCAGCACTTACAATATAACGGGAGACAATACAGTAACAATACAGTTCAATACAAGAGGGAAAGGAGGGCCTGATCCTTGGAGCTTACAATCTAGATTAATCCTAAGGATAAGTGAGCAATCCAAGAATATGTGCACATGAATCTATTTCCGGAGTGGTTTATGACAATGAGACAATGAATGGGCCAATCTCACCGGTCTAGAAGGTAGACATATCCTGGGAATAGCTGTGGAATGCTTATTGTGTGGTATGCATGTTGGTGTGATGTTGTGCCATTCAAAATGGCACTCCTTAACCACTTCCCGACTGGCCGTTGCATATGAACGGCCGGACGGTGGCAGTGCAGGGTCGGGTGGCCGTTTATATGCAACGGCCGGTCGGGAAGTGGTTAAGGACCGCGATCCGGTGCCCGCTGTGTCCTCCGGACACAGTGAAACACCGATCGTCGGACGGGACCTCTGAAAGAGGTCCCGATCATGTGATCACTGATTGGCCAATCAGTGATCACATGCAAAGTAGTAAGCAAGATGTCACTTGTGACATCATTGCTTACTAGGTGTGAAATCTGTGAATGATCACAGAGGTCACATGGTACAAGGCTATTCACAACAGCCTTGTACCATGTGACAAGCTGTGACCAATCACAGCTAACTCAGTACTTCTCAATGAGTGCAAGAATGCAGACAGAGAGAAAGAGAAATGATTGCTTTTACATCCTATATGGGTGTAAAAGCAATCAGTGTAAAAAAAAAAAAAAAAAAAAATACGGTGCTGCGTCACTTTAACTGACAATTGCGTGGTCATGCAATGCTGCACCCAAATTAAATTTATATCCTTTTTTTCCCACAAATAGAGTGGTATTTGGTCACCTCTGCGGTTTTTATTTTTTGCGCTTTAAACTAAAAAAACCTCACAATTTTGAAAAATAAACAATATTTTTGACTTTTTGCTATTAAACATGTCCAATAAAAAAAAATGGAAAAATCAAATTTCGTCATAAATTTAGGCCAGTATTTCTGCTAAAAGGCAGCGGTCAACTGGTTAATGCATTGCAACGCACCTGATTAGTGTAAGGCTGGTCACACATTATACAATTTTCTTGAGAATTTTGCTTTAGATTTACCAAAAACCATATAATATGAGGTCAAACCTAAACAACACGTTCAATTGTATCCAATTAGGCAGGCCCTTGCACTACATAGTTAAACAAAATCTAAAGGAAATTGGGCATAAATTTGACAAAATTTGACAGAAAATTGTATAATGTATGGCCAGCCTAAGGCTACTTTCACAGTGAGGAGTTTCTGAAGCATTTTTGCGTTAAAAAAGTTCCTGAAAAGCTCAAGAAAAACGCTTCCCTATGTATGTGAATGTTACTCATTTTCACAGCTCTTACTGTGAAGATTCCTTTCCATATTTTGAGATTAAATCTCTTTTTCCTCCAGACATAAAGAGTGCCCCCTTGTCCTCTGTGATGACCTCAGGGTGAATAGCTCTACACCGAGTTCACTATATGAACCACTGATGTATTTATACATGTTGATCATATCCCCACTTATGTATTATACATGGAGATCATATCCCCCTTATGTATTATACATGGAGATCATATCCCCCCTTATGTATTATACATGGTGATCATATCCCCCCTTATGTATTATACATGGTGATCATATCCCCCCTTATGTATTATACATGGTGATCATATCCCCCCTTATGTATTATACATGGAGATCATATCCCCCCTTATGTATTATACATGGAGATCATATCCCCCCTTATGTATTATACATGGAGATCATATCCCCCCTTATGTATTATACATGGAGATCATATCCCCCCTTATGTATTATACATGGAGATCATATCCCCCCTTATGTATTATACATGGAGATCATATCCCCCCTTATGTATTATACATGGTGATCATATCCCCCCTTATGTATTATACATGGTGATCATATCCCCCCTTATGTATTATACATGGTGATCATATCCCCCCTTAATCTCCTCTTCTCAAGAGAGAATAAATTCAGTTCCTCTAATCTTTCCTCATAGCTGAGCTCCTCCATGTCTCTTATCAATTTGGTTGCCTTTCTCTGTACTTTCTCCAGTTTCCCAATGTTCTTTTTGTGAATTGGTGCCCAAAACTGAACTGCATATTCCAGATGAGGTCTTACTAATGATTTGTACATGATTCGTATGTATATCTATGTATGTTTCCACACTGAGGCATTGCGCTTGTGGTGCAATGTAAAAACTCCTGCTTGCAGCATCTTTGAGGCATGTTTGGTGAGTGAAAAAAAGCCCCAAAAATCCCTCTTCCCATTGAAATCAATGGAAAATGCCTGAAAAGCGGCTCAAAAACACCTGAAAAGTGCATCAAAAACACCTCTGAAAAGTGTTTTTGGTGCAATTTTTAAGTCATGTGTCTTTAAAAAAAAAGGAAAGCGTGGCAAAAGCACAGCAAAAACGCCTATGCGTTTTTGCTGTGTTTTTGCAGCGGATCAGTGTGAAAGTAGCCTAAATGACCCTAAGGCCCTGTTCACTCCTACAAATCGTAATGCTCATTTTACAACACATTGCTTGGCATCCCATTACATTCAGTTGGTTTGGTTTATATGTGTATTGTGCTAGGGCACATCATGGAAAATAGTTCAGGTATTATTTTTTTACCCATCACTGTGCGCTGAGGATCTCATAAAAGTCAAGAAGAGCACATGAAATGGTATAGTTACTGAGATCTGCCAAAAATATTAAAGCCAACGCACGGTGTATCCTCTGAGATTCTAATCTTTGTTACCAATCATGAATTCAAAGAGGCAACATTGACGCGTTTCAGCCTACATGGCCCTGGTCCTAGATATGACTAAGACAGCAAAGGCTGAAATGTGTCAGCAGTTGTTTCTTTGTATTCAATATAGATGATTATTAAAAGAATTTCGGAGGAAGTGATGTCCATTTGGTTTTTACATTTCTTACTGTTTATATCCCAGGAAGAATATAACAATATTAATAAAAATGTGAAAAATATACAAATCACAAATATTTATTTGTGATTTGTATATTTTTCACATTTTTGTTATTGTGTTGAGTTTTTTAATAATAGCAGCATCCAGTGAGTGTATTTCCTCTCTTTATTACATTGGCGCAATGATGTTGGTATAATAGAAGTGTTGTATTTATTGGAACATTTCTTTAGTAACTAACTTTTTAGTGATATAACAATATTAGATCAAGTGATCTGTAGCATAAAAAATGTAAAAGTCAGCCAACATCCCATACAGAACAGCGAAAAGACAAAAAATAGCACAAAATCCCCCTGGGACTTTACAGACAGAGAGAATATATGCAAAATCAAACTGTCATAAAGCAATATCAGTCTTTATTAGTAGGTATATATTTGAAATAAATAGGTGCAGCGCTAAAAACAATGAGTATATAAATATCTGTCCATAAATATATAAACCAAGAATAAATCAAATCGAAAGTGACAGTCTGTGTAGATCTAGGTGCGGAATAACAGTAGAATCCAGTATTGGTGCTTCAAATAGTGTGGTAGAATTACGCACTCACCAGATGCGTAATGTATATATGCATTAAATGAATCAGTAGATGTCCCCTTTAGGAGTTGGATATAATCCAAGATAATCCTCCCTCTTGGCAAGGTGGTGCTGTCAGGAGCTCACAGAAGGTAAAGGATCCAGCTGGCCAGAGGTCCCTTTAAGGGATGGATGGGTCTAGATGCCTGCTTACATGAACTCCCTTCTCTGGATACTGCAGATGGCTGGATCAGGTGGGCTCTACAAATGAGTAGCTCCGCACAGGAGGCCGTAAAGAATGCCCATAGTGTAGTAGGTAATTCAAGTATTTAATATTAAAATGAATTTGCAAACTCAAAAATGATAAAAACAAGTAACATCAGGTATTGTAGCATGGACTAACCATCCAGAAAGTAAGATGGCCGACAGGCCTTCACGTGGCTCCGGCGGCGTGACGTCACGGTGTCTTGGCTCCTCCTAACGAGTTTCGTGCGCACGCACTTCTTCAGAGGTGGATACCAATTGCTCACTTTTTTATTGTATTTTTACAGTATATATATATTGTTCATAAAGACCTCAGAGGTCCATAAAACCACATAGACATTGTGGGTTAGTGGGTAGTGTTGCATACAATGAAGGGACAACACAGAGTCCATACAGGTGGCTCCAATCTGATTATGGCATTATATATACTGTATTTATTTATACACCTATAGAACTTTTGGACATCTATACAATTGTAAGTTGGAGCTCTTGGGATCCTTGTAGCGAGGCAGATGGCCTGAAGGTGTCTCCTTGGTGGTACTTGTGTGATCCGTGGGCCAATAGCAACTCCATATGCATCACAATCCTGTTTTATGTTCTTCAGATTTCATGTAGATATGGAGGATGTAAAGTGCCTTGAAAAAGTATTCATACCCCTTGAAATTTTCTGCATTTTGTCATGTTACAGCCAAAAATGTAAATGTATTTATTTGGGATTTTATGTGATAGACCAACACAAAGTGGCACAGAATTGTGAAGTGAAATGAAAATGATAAATGGTAAAACTTCAAGGGGTATGAATACTTTTTCAAGGCACTGTAAGTGTACTGAAATGATATTATAATAGTAACACATCTATGCCATGATTTGGTATTATTATCACAGTACGCTGTAAAAAATAGTTCTTTACAAAAACTGTCTTGTTATACTGGTGCTGTACCTATTATATTGTAGTATTGTTATACCCAACTCTTTTCCCTGAAGGAGGAATGATTTTACCAAAACATGTCCAGACATTTTGAAGACTACACCACGACTGACCAAGTTACATCTTCTTTGGCAGTGTTCTGTTGGTGTGTCTCCATATGTTAGGGTATATGTACTCTACCACTGTGGTTAGTGTGGGGTAATTTGCAAGCTGGGGTGGCGTATTTCTTCCAGTTCTACCCCTGGCAATAAGTCCTGTGCTCTCGGCCTTGTTACATTTTGGAAAATGACAGGCTCTCTCCCACCTTCCCGGATGTCAAGCGTGTAGTTCAAGAAAACACAAGGAAAATGTTGCTAAACACATGATAACGCTTGATATAAAATTCAATAAAAATGGAAGCCCATTGTGGGAAGTCAGCCTTAAACAATGCAGAAATTAGTTTTAATTTTGCCATTGCTGAGTGATTAGCAGTGGAAAATCAACAGTTCATAGCCAAATAGTTAACGAATCCAATGAGAGTTAAAGTGTTACTAAACCCACAACAATAAAATCAGTCTGTATATGCAGTAAAGCATGCTTGTTATACTCACTGTGGAACCTAAGGGGTTAATTCCCTTGTGCCATGTGACAAGCTGTGACCAATCACAACTCACACAGTATTTCTCAATGGCTGCAAGAATGCAGCCAGAGAGAAAGAGAAATGATTGCTTTTACAGCCTTTATGGGTGTAAAAGCAATCAGTGTAAAAAAAAAAAAAAATCTTCATCACCCCCCACAAGTAGTACAGTGGCACTATGGTGACACTGTACTGCTAAGGTGACAGTATGTTAAAAAAAAAACCATAAATAATAATATAAAAAAATAAAATAAAAATTGAAACTTTTTTTTGAAAAGTTATAATTTTTGGTTATAAACTAATTTGTTTTGTTTTTTTACTATAAAGATAACTGAATACATTTTGGCCAAGATTTTTGAAGAAAGATTATTTATTTGCAAAATTTTATAAAAAAAACACTTTTTTTTTCAAAATGTTTGGATTTTCATTTATATAGCAAAAAAAATAAAAATCCCAGTGGTGAATAAATACCACCAAAATAAAGTTTTATCTGTCTCAAATAAATGCTAGAAAATTCATATGGGTACAGTGTTGCATGACCGCGCAATTGTCATTCAAAGTGTGATAGCACTGAAAGCTGAAAATTGGCCTGGACAGGAAGGGGGTAAAAAAGTGTCTGGACTTGAAGTGGTTAGCCAGTGCTCAGCCGGACACTGATAGAAGTCACAAGACTGCTCTGACTGCTGATGAGAAAAGGTATTTAGCGGTTTATATTTACTAAAATAATTGCATTTCCATGTTGTGTGTACTGTGGGAGATCAGATATAGTGAATGCAGGGTCCTGGGAGACCAGATATAGTGACTGCAGGGCCCGGGGGGAGACCAGATATAGTGAATGCAGGGTCCGGGGAGACCGTATATAGTGAATGCAGGGTCTGGGGGGACCAGATATAGTGAATGCAGGATCCGGGGAGACCAGATATAGTGAATGCAGGGTCCTGGGAGACCAGATATAGTGACTGCAGGGCCCGGGGAGACCAGATATAGTGAATGCAGGGTCCGGGGAGACCGTATATAGTGAATGCAGGGTCTGGGGGGACCAGATATAGTGAATGCAGGATCCGGGGAGACCAGATATAGTGAATGCAGGGTCCTGGGAGACCAGATATAGTGACTGCAGGGTCCGGGGAGACCAGATATAGTGATTGCAGGGTCCGGGAGACCAGATATAGTGAATGCAGGGTCCTGGGAGACCAGATATAATGAATGCAGGGTCCGGGAGACCAGATATAGTGAATGCAGGGTCCGGGGAGACCAGATATAGTGAATGCAGGGTCCTGGGAGACCAGATATAGTGAATGCAGGGTCCGGGGAGACCAGATATAGTGACTGCAGGGCCCGGGGGAGACCAGATATAGTGAATGCAGGGTCCGGGGAGACCGTATATAGTGAATGCAGGGTCTGGGGGGGGACCAGATATAGTGAATGCAGGATCCGGGGAGACCAGATATAGTGAATGCAGGGTCCTGGGAGACCAGATATAGTGACTGCAGGGTCCGGGGAGACCAGATATAGTGATTGCAGGGTCCGGGGAGACCAGATATAGTGAATGCAGGGTCCTGGGAGACCAGATATAATGAATGCAGGGTCCGGGGAGACCAGATATAGTGAATGCAGGGTCCGGGGAGACCAGATATAGTGAATGCAGGGTCCTGGGAGACCAGATATAGTGAATGCAGGGTCCGGGGAGACCAGATATACTGAATGCAGGATCCTGGGAGACCAGATATAGTGACTGCAGGGTGCGGGGAGACCGTATATAGTGAATGCAGGGTCCGGGGGACCAGATATAGTGAATGCAGGGTCCTGGGAGACCAGATATAGTGAATGCAGGGTCCGGGGAGAACAGATATAGTGATTGCAGGATCCTGGGAGACCAGATATAGTGACTGCAGGGTGCGGGGAGACCAGATATAGTGAATGCAGGGTCCGGGAGACCAGATATAGTGAATGCAGGGTCCGGGGAGACCAGATATAGTGAATGCAGGGTCCGGGGAGACCAGATATAGTGAATGCAGGGTCCGGGGAGACCAGATATAGTGAATGCAGGGTCCGGGGAGACCAGATATAGTGAATGCAGGGTCCGGGGAGACCAGATATAGTGAATGCAGGGTCCGGGGAGACCAGATATAGTGACTGCAGGGTTCGGGGAGACCAGATATAGTGAATGCAGGGTGCGGGGAGACCAGATATAGTGAATGCAGGGTCTGGGGTTTAGTAACACTTTAATAGTGTTTTGTGCCTGAACACTGGAGCTAATGAATGAATAAAATTAAAGTGAATCTATAATTAATAGCACATTGTAATGTTAATCTAAACAATAGATTCAGTGAGGATTTATTATTTAAAAGTTGGCTGATTTAAAGGTCACCTCAGTGGAAAAAAAACGATGTCTTGATTTTTTTCTATGAAAGCTCTGATGAGTGATAAGATGAGTGTGGGAGAAGAGATTATTCCTGCAGAGGAGTGATGTGCAATCAGATCTTTTATTCTTCGCTGTGCTGGCCATGGATTTCCCCATTTATTAATTGCGGTAGCATATTTAGAATAATGTGGTGGGGATCATTCATTCAAAGCGTATTTATTAAAGTAGTTGTTATTTTATATATTTATATGTAATTATTTATTATCTTTTAATATTTAGTACGTATATGTGTTATATATTTACTATCTTTTTTTATTATATATTTTATATTTATTATATTTACATTTATTTACTTCTTTACATGAATGAGGGAGGAGTTAAAGTAGTATTATTATTTATACAGTATTTATATAGCACCAAAGGGTATGCTCAGCGCTGTACAGTAGCAAGGGGGACAGAACATGAGACAATACAGTAACAATACAATACACGAGGGTTCGAGAGCCCTGCTCTTTCGAGCTTACAATCTAGGAGACGGATGTGTGACTGCTGGAGAGGAAGTATGTATTGTGACTTTAGTCCTTCTTTAACCGCTTCCAGACCGGACACTTTTACCCCCTTCCTGTCCAGGGCAATTTTCAGCTTTCAGCGCTATCACACTTTGAATGACAATTGCGCGGTCATGCAACACTGTACCCTAATGATTCTTTTACCATTTTTTTGAGACAGATAAAGCTTTATTTTGGTGGTATTTATTCACTGCTGGGATTTTTATTTTTTTTGCTATGTAAATGAAAATGTCCAAAAATTTTGAAAAAAAGTATTTTTTTTTATTAAATTTTGCAAATAAATAATATTTCATCATAAATCTCTTGGCCAACATTTATTCCGTTATCTTTTTAGTAAAAAAAAAAAATCCAAATTAGTTTTATAACCAAAAATTATAATTTTTAAACATTTTTTTTTACATTTTTTTTTTTTTTATTATATTATTATTTATTTTATTTTTTTTTACGTACTGTCACCCTAGCAGTACAGTGTCACCATGGTGACACTGTACTACTTGTGGGGGGTGATGAAGATTTTTTTTTTTTTTTTTTTTTTTTTACAGTAATTGCTTTTATACCCATATAGAATGTAAAATAAATAATTTCTCTTTCTCTCTGTCTGCATTCTTGCACTCATTGAGAAGTACTGAGTGAGCTGTGATTGGTCACAGCTTGTCACATGGCACAAGGCTGTTGTGAATAGCCTTGTACCATGTGACCTCTGTGATCATTCACAGATTTCACATGTAGTAAGCAATGATGTCACAAGTGACATCTTGCTTACTACTTTGCATGTGATCACTGATTGGCCAATCAGTGATCACATGATCGGGACCTCGTACAGAGGTCCCGTCCGACGATCGGTGTTTCACTGTGTCCGAAGGGCACAGCGGGCACCAGATTGCGGTGCAGGGAGCGCGCACAAGCAGGGTGCGGGGAGGCCGTTTATAAACGGCCACCCGACCCTGCACTGCCACCGTCTGGCCGTTTATATGCAACGGCCGGTCGGGAAGTGGTTAAAGAGCAATGGGCTGCCTCTTGCCAGATCTGCACATATTTTTACCCATTGCTATGTATGCTCCAACATGAAGTACAACTAAAGCAAACTTTTTTTCTGTTTTGGATAGAGTTTAGAGGGTTTAGAACACCTGTCTTTTTTTTTTTTAATTCTTTTAATTGTTTTCTATATACTAGTACAAAACAGTAAAACAACAGCTAACAACAACCAGCACTACAATGCATCAGCACCAGTAAGGAATGTGGCTCCTATGTATGCAATACATGAACGTGCCCATAGAAAGGTATACCATCACAGCATATTATAGGCACTTGTAAACTCCAGTACAAGATTCCACATCAAAGTCATATATACAGTATTACTGCTTGGTCACAAAAGTCTAGTACATAACCACTCCTAAGACAGTCAATATCACAAGGCACTCAATTTAATACAGTAGACTTATCATTTACCCAACCTCCCCACACTTTGTCAAATTTGACTTGCACTCCTCTATTTGCATATCTAACGCTTTATTTATTAATGCCTTCCAGGTCATTATGGAGAGGCCGCGGGTTTTTCCTATGAAAGAATAATCATTTTCCTGGCATAATAGAAGAGCAAAATTGTGTATCACCTTCGTAGGAGTGAATCGATCAATTAGTCCTAATAAACAAATTTCAACAGAAGAGAAACACTGATGGTCGTGACAGACCATACACATTGTACAACCTCCAACCAAAATTGTTGGATAGCCGCCACAATGCCCAAAATGTATGCATAAAGTCAGCCTGGGGGGAAGCACACCTACCTGTTGACTTTTTATAGTTCTTTGTGCCCCTGTTAGGGCAATTCACCCTCTCTATTTGTCCTGTTTACCATTATCAATGAAAGGGAAAGAAAATCCCACATTTTGTGTTGCCCACAGAACAGGAATAGAAGGGAAATCTTCAACTGCCAACTGTCTGCAGTCAGTAGCTAAGGATCTCCAAACTTCATGTGGCCTTCAGATTAGCACAACAACAGTGTGTAGAGAGCTTCATGGAATGGGTTTCCATGTTCGAGTAGCTGCATCCAAGCCTTACATCACTAAGTGCAATGCAAAGCGTCAGATGCAGTGGTGTAAAGCACACTGCCACTGGACTCTAGAGCAGTGGAGACGTGTTCTCTGGAGTGAAGAATCATGCTTCTCTGTCTGGCAATCCGATGGACGTTTCCGAGTTTGGCGGTTGTCAGAACAGTATTGCATTGTGCCAAGTGTAAAGTTTGGTGGAGGGGGGTTATGGTATGGTGTGGGGTTGTTCTTCAAGGGTTGGGCTTGGCCCCTTAGTTCCAGTGAAAGGAACTCGTAAAGCGTCAGTATACCAAGAAATTTTGGATAATTTCATGCTCCCAACTTTGTGGGAAGAGTTTGGGGATGGCCCCTTTCCTGTTCTTACATGACTGCACACCGGTGCACAAAGCAAGGTCCATAAAGACATGGATGAGTGAGTTTGGGGTGGAGGAACTTGACTGGTCTGCACAGAGTTCTGACCTCAACCCGATAGAACAGCTTTGGGATGAATTAGAGCGGAGACTGGGAGCCAGGCCTTCTCGTTCGACATCAGTGCCTGACCTCACAAATGCGCTTATGGAAGAATGGTCAAACATTTCCATAGACACACTCCTATGGGAATTGAAACAATTATGCTGTGCTACCCAGTCACATAGACCCCTAAACAATAATGGATCAAGGTGAAATAGGTGTAAATAAAATGTAAATAACTAGTGATAAATTGAGTAAACAAGAAAGTAATGAATAAATAGGATGATACAAAAATTAATAAAGCACCATGAAAACTGACCGTATTCCAAATGTAGAAAATGTAAATATAACGATGATAAAAAAGTGATAAAAAATTGATAAAAATGAATCACTCAAAAAACAAAAACCACCTAATGTGAACAGAGTGATATGGATAAATAAATAACAATGAATCGATAAATCACATGAAAAACATTATTAAATAAAACTAATATGAATAAATAAACTCCTATGGGAGTTTGTCGTTGGGCACACATTGTCGCACATGTGAACATAAGGTAACAAACATACATATATATATATATATATATATATATATATATATATATATATATACAAACACACACATATATTTTTTTTTTTCATTGTTTCTCTGTGGCCTTTTTGATTTCACCTCTCAATTCAGAGTGGGTATTTACCAATTGCGGTTAATTATATCAACTATGTCTATGTCATAAAATAGATGTATATGATTGCTTATAGTGCTATGATTGTTATATGATGTCATTAACTATATATATTTTGTCCTAGTTTATGTATAGCAAGATCCAAGGCCCTGAGGAAGCTTTTTTTTTTTGTGAAACGTGTCGGCCATTTAAGAGTAGAACAGATATATGATTATACTTCAAGTGACATTTTTCATTTTATAAGTCTTTTATTTTGTTTATTTGTGATACTTGTATATGGTAACAATAAAATACTCTTTTAATGTATTGATATTCTTTTTTGCTCTATACCTCGGGAGGTACATTTATAGTCCCAGTTATAAGTGTTGTAGTTGAAGCTGTTATAGCTGCAAAGGGCAGGCCAACTCAACATTGAACCCTACGGACTAAGACTGGGATGCCATTAAAGTTGATGTGAGTGAAAAGGCAAGCTTCCAATACTTTTGGCAGTATAGTGTATATATAGCTCCTGATAGTTGTACAGAAAGGAAAATGCCATATATTAACTTTTCGGCAAGGTGTATCTGGTGTATGTGACCAAAAATACACCCGCAATTCCAAAACAGTTGGGACGCTGTGTTAAATCCACATAAAAACAGAATGCAAGGATTTGCAACTTTCATAGAAAACAGAAAACATATCAAATGTGTAAACGGAAAAAATTTACAATTTTACAAAAAATAATGTCATTTTGAAATTGATGGCAACAACACATCTCAAAAAAGTTGGCCATGTTTACCACAGTGTAGCATCCCCTCTTTCTTGGACAACATTCTGTAAATGTCTGAGAACTGAGACCAGTTTCTGGAGATTTGGGAGAGGAATGCTGTCCCATTTTTGCCTGATATAGGATTTGAACTGCTCAGCAGTCCTGGGTTTTTGTTTCAAGATGTGCCAAATATTTTCAATTGGTGAAAGGTGTGGACTGCAGGCAGGCCAGTTAAGCACCTGCACTCTTCAACT